GTTATGTCACAGCTGCCAATCCTGAATCAAGTCAAGTCACAGTTGTTCTTCATGAGTCTAGTCAAGTCATGGCTGATCTTCATAAATCAAGTCAAGTCACAGCTGATCTTCATGAGTCTAGTCAGGTCACGGTTGATCTTCATGAATCAAGTCATGTCACAGTTGATCTTCATGAGTCAAGTCATGTCACAGTTGATCTTCATGAGTCAAGTCAAGTCACAGCTGCTCTTTCTGAGTCAAATTAAGTCACAGTTGATCTTCATGAATCAGGTCACGTTTCAGCTGAACTAGTCTCGTCACGTCTTTGCCGATCATCCAGAGTCATGTCACATCACGTCTGTTCGCTCAGAGTCCTGTCACTTCCTGTCTGTTGCACCCAGATCCTCAAGGACTGTTCTTCAGTATCCCGGACTGGCATCCAGCGTGGAGGACCCACCGGTGTCGGCACGTGCAGCTGGTATCCCTAAACCAGTGCTCTCAAGCCCTCCAATTCCTGAACTATTTCCCCTGTCTGTAGCGCTTCCCACAATGGGGATCGCTTTATGGTGTATTTTATTATTATTATTATTTTTTTATTTAGTCATTTAGCAGACGCTTTTATCCAAAGCGACTTACAAATGAGGAGGCGTGTTAGAACGAGCCGTTTTAGGTAGATGTGGCTGACTCTTAACTTTTATAAAGAATATCTCTTTGGATTTGAGACTTTAGTCTTTGCAACTTTACAGATCTTCTTTATGCACCAAGAGCTTGTAACACTCCGAAGATAAAGGAAAAATTGAAATCGCATCATATGACCCCTTTAAGGGGAGACACTGCAGGCAAAAGCACTGTTTTTTCATGCACCTGTCAATTTTGAGATTTTGGGCTTTTTGGCTTTTCATAAAGTGGTTTTTCAGACTAGTGGAAAGAAAACATCCAAAAGACAATGTTAAGTGTTTCTTTTATAGCACGTTATCTATTTGTGTCAATAGATTTCAATTACAATACATATTTTTAAAGGCCATTTTCTCAAAATTAGTTTTTTCTCCTACACTGAGCCATAAATCTCCACTTCAGTAGCACTTACACACACCAAACTTTAAATTTTTATTCCTCTCTCTATATTCTGAAGGTTTTTACAGAGGGATTTGTCCATATATAATTTGCTTGATTATATACAACATTTTATTTCCCCAAAAATTGTGAAAATATATATTTTTCTGGTTGTTCAAAGTATTTTATGAATTATGGAGTGACAAAAAGAGATACCCAAAATTCCCTCTGTAAAAATATTTGCCTCTAATATGTCATAAAATAAAATAAAAAAATAAACAAGAATTTTGAAACTGACTTCATCCAGGGTTCAGATTTTTGTACTAGAAATGTATGCAAATTAGCGCATGTCACATTACTACATTACGCTACCCCACAGTCCTATGGGAAATGTAGTCCCAAATCTTACATCGCCTTATAACAACCAGTAACGTTAATGGAGTGGCGCTGTTCTGTTTCCAAGCGCAACCCATAAGCACAACAAGGCCCTTCTCGCTAACGTTCATTGCAAATCTTCCAGTCGTTCACATCATTCCCAGTCTGTTTTCATGACAGTGCCGTTTGGTATTCGAACCTTATGTTAACGCTCTATATTTCATTCTGGTGACGTTTATTTTTCTTGTGGTCACGTTAAAACTCGTTTCTGCATCACCCTGCTGTAATGGTAAGTAGCTTAGCCAGCTAACATTAGCTGAAGGAAAATTAGAGAAAAAAATCATGCGTGTGGCTATATTTGACTAGTTTATTCAACTACGTATGATTTCTGAGCAATAAACTGATATAATCTCTTAAATAAACAATTTAAAGAGGAGACGTAAGGGAAGACTAGCTAGATATATAAGATGACGTCAGGTTGTAACCATAGACTGTATAAAAATAAGGCAATTAATACCATTAAATACAATGTAATGAAATTCAAACATGCCTGTAACTTCAGTGTAGCGTAATATTATTTTATTTTATTTGTTTTACAGTTACAAGCAATATCAAAGCATAAGCTGTTCAGAAATCGCCGTAATTTTTGCAGATCAATCAGTAATCACTCCCCTATAATATAAAAATTGATATAATTAAACTGTTTTAAGTGTCTTACTAATTTTAATTAAAAACTGCATTAATAAGATTCGCCATATAGACAATAATACAACTATTTTCCGTACATAAAAAGACTGACTGCATGAATTGGAAAATTTACTATCACACAAACTTGCAATTTGAGTGTTTGATATAAGATTATTTATTTGTATATAACTTTAATCTCTTTAAACCAGATATGAAAGTCAGCTTTAAAGTTGTAATGTGAACTTTACAATGATATTCTTACAGTTCTCAGTACAGTAGATTAGTGTATAAGTGCCATGATGTAACCAAAAGAAGGCGCTGTTTCTCTGTAGTATATTTTTTTGCCACAAACTTAGTCTTTTAAGGCCAGATTGCCATTAAATGTAATATTCTGTGTATTCACCTACAGGCTGATTTTGGGTTTAATGAGCAACATCAGAATGAGGTGATAAATTACATGCGCTTTGCCCACTCTAAACGGGCACTGAGACTAAAGACAGTCGACTCCTGCTTCCAAGACCTGAAGGACAGTAGGTGAGGGGCCGCAGACTGTCACTTATGTATTAGCAGTATCTCCCTTTGAGCTTCTGTCTAAAGATGCTCTTTTCTGACCTTTTTCTTTCCCTCTTTACATTCATATTAAAGGCTCATGGAGGAGACATATACGGTGGATGAGGTATCTGACATGCTGGATGGGCTGCAGGTACTGGTGCGTGGAGAAGTGGAGTTGGAACTCATAAACACAGCTCACACTAATGTGCTGCTGCTGCGACAACTCTTTTCACAGGCAGAGAAATTCTACCTAAGACTGCAAACAGACATTTCTGAGCTGGAGAACAGGTGAGGAGAAGGAAGAGGTTAAATGGTTGAGAGTTAAAGGTTTAAAGCCGGGGTACTCGACAGGCAGCCCGCGGGCCGCATCTGGCCCGTCTGCATTAATTTTGTGGCCTGCGTCATGCTGAAGATTAATGTATTTTTATTAGGGATGTAACGATTCACTCAACCTGCATCTAAACTTTTCTAAAGACAGCAAGTTCCCCTCAGACATGGATTCATAAACTACCCCTAAATGAATCACGATTTGTTTAGCATCTCAACCGATTTGAATTGTCACATATTTGAATCGATTTTCAACCGGGTCGCGGTTAATCGTTACATCCCTAATTTTTATTATAATTTGCACTCAAAAGTAGTGCAAACTAGACTTGTGCCGGTATTCGGTAATGCGATATATCACGGTAATGAATATGCGCGATATTGTTATCGTGGGCACTTCTAAATACCGTGAATAATTATATATTACAAATTATTCCGAATTTTGAATGCATTTTAAGAATACTTTTCCCATCAACTGGTCAAAATGCGCAACACGCTGTATGCTGCGTGAAAGACGCGTGCGCGCTCTGATGTAAACAAGTGCGGACGTGAAGCACATGGCGGAACATGTGAGAGACGCTCTGGATGAAAGCGCACTTTCACTCTCTGACAGCAGATGGCGCTAAACTGCAGAAATGATAATAATAATAATATAATAATTCATTTAAATGCAGCCTTTACCCCGGAAACTCTGTAAACAAAGCAGCTGCACTACTTCCTGTTTCTGAATCATGTTTAAATTATTTAAACAGCCATTCAGATTTGTGTATTTGCTATGATGTTCATCACAGCGCCAAATACTTAAATATTTAGACTTAATATTTTCAAACTTTTTTAACATTTTAATCTGGACTACAACATACCCTAGATATTGTTTGAAAGTGTTTTGATTCTTTATTGTTCGGTCACACTTTACATCAGGGCTTCATTAGTTAACATTAGTTAATTCATTAGTTAACAAACTGCCAATGAAAAATTCTTCTGAACATTCATTAATCTTAGGCATTTCAATATTTAATAACAGGATGTTAAAATCGAGAGTTGCAGCTGTGTTATTTAATGAACTAACATGAACTAAGACTTGTATTTTTTAAACAAAGATTAATAACTTCTGTAGCAAATGTAGCTATTGCTCATTGTGAATGTTAATGCATTAACTAAGGTTAACTAATGAGGTCTTAGATTAAAGTGCAAAAGAACTATAAAGACCAATAGGTATCACTTTACAATAAGACATCATTTAACCTTAGTTAATGCATTAACATTCACAATGAGCAATAGCTACATTTGCTACAGAAGTTATTAATCTTTGTTTAAAAAATACAAGTCTTAGTTCATGTTAGCTCATTAAATAACACAGTTGCAACTTTCAATTTTAACAACGTGTTATTAAATATTG